GCCTTCTTGTCAAGCTGAGATCGCAAGATTGCCCGAACCTAGTGGCCACCACATACCAGCCACTGCAGACATTCAAGGTTGCTCGACTCTGAGGCTCCTGCCTGGTCCCTGGCCTCTCGTGCAACTTTGCGCTGCCTGCAATCCGCAATAATGGCCATTGCCATGTATCACTATGACACTATGATTGTTCAGCACAGCTTCCGGTGCCATCTGTCTTTACTCCGGCCTATCCCGGGACAGCTCCTTCTCGGCGCCGAGCTTGGTCTTGAGCAGGGCAAACCTGCCCGGTGAGTCCATCGGCACACGCGAGTCCATCGGCAAGGCCTGGAGAAAGCCACGCCATCTCCTTCCGCGGAGCACTTCCAGATCTTCTGCAAGACCTGGCTTCGAGTCTTCGAGCTCGCGCACATCAGCCCAATATGAGCAAACCCTCTCCGCTCTCTCCGCTCTCTCCGCTCTCTCCGGCCTCCTTTGGCAGATCCAGCTGGAGCTCGGCCTTTGCGAAGGTCTTCACCTGGGCAGCTCGGCCTTTGCGAAGGTACATTGTTGAAAACTCGCAAGCCTTCGTCTCGGAGAGGGAGCCGTCGTCCGCATACTTGGAGAACAGGGCCTAATATTGGTCAATTTTCTTAATGTATACATATAGAGAGAGATATTCTCCATCGCCATCGCAAGCGAGACTGGCAGAATCGCGCCTGTAGTTCCAGGGTCTTCTGCGTCGCCACCACTCGCCGAGCTACAGCATCCTTCACAGCCCGCGCTGCCCCCAGCAGAGCATCGCTCAGCTTCGTGCACCTCAGCGAAAACTTGGGCAGCCCAGTGCACCGGCAGCTGAACATGCTGCCCAAACCAAGCAACCGAGATCCAAGACTCTAAGTACAGCACTCGTTTATTCGAGAAAGACACCTGGCCATGAGGAGCTTGATCTCTGATGGCCCAGTGGGAATTCCCAGAATGGCTGGAGGGTCCTCAGCGAGCGAAGCACCTCGAGATACCCCAAATGTCGACTGTGACGCAGTCCTTCATCTCTGGACCGTGGCTCACCAGGAAGTCCATGCAAGTCTTGATGAGGGACTTGCAATCTGCTCCAGCTGACTCCACTGCCTCCGAGCAGGCTTCCACCTCCCGGTGCAGGCTACGAGCAACGGTTTGATGCAACTTCACCCACTCAACCCAACCCTGCGCCGTTCGTTCCGGAAGGATTGTGAAAACTGCCTGAGCATTTGTAGACTGTCTGACTCTGCCCACCAAAGACTACCACAAACCACGCCCATGCCACCACCAAGTTATGGCCAGTCTGTGAATGTGCGGCGGTGTTGCAGGGTAGCATTTCTCTCAACAACGAAGAAAATAGCCCGGAAGCTGCATCATGCCGGTGCAAGAATCTAAGCACGCAACCCACCCTCCAGCCTCTTGCAGAGTCTGCTCATCGCTCGATTCCAGGGGTGCACAAGTCTCTTTGAGTTGCTCGACCTGTCTCACAACTTGGAATTCGTCCCCAAAGCCAATGAGCTTCTCAGCAAGGCGCCCCCCTCTCGGCCATGTCCAAGAGGTCGCTCAGCTCCGAAAGGAGCTCCTCCAGCTCTCCAACTCTCCCCCTGCCGCCCCTGCCTGCCCTCTGCATTTTGTTTTCCTGAGCCCACTTCAGCCGAGGCACCTTCGCCCTCGCTTCCAACTCCAACCTTCTCTGCTCATCGGCCGCCTTCTTCTCCTCGGCTTTCCTTTTAGCCTGAAGCACTTCGGGGCCCACTTCACATCAGCCACAATGAAAACATTTCGCATCGCCAGCCTCAATGAGCATCTCCACTCTCTTTTGTGCCTGGTCTAGGCACTTGTCAGCCTCGCTCTTCATATATTCCTTCTGGCTGCCAGAATCCTCGCAACTCCGCCGCCACGGCATTTGAACGAAATACGCCGTCCCAGCCTCCAGGTGCTGCTTCAAGCACTCCTCCAGCTCCTTCTGCAGCACCTCCAGTGTCTCTTGATTGGCTGTGCCGAGCTTCTGGATTGCCTGTTGCCCAGAGGGTTTACGCAAACGAAGTCGAACTTGCACATCTTGCACATTGTGCACACCCGCAACCCGCCTTCCGCACCATGAAAACGGCCTTGCCCTCCTTGATCCGTTGCTCTTGCAGCTCCTTCTGGCGCTTCATTTCCTCCTTGCCCAGCAACTTGCTTGATCTGAGCAAGATCAATTCCGGCAGGTCCTCTCGCTTCTTCCTGAGCTCTTCCTGTTTCTTTCTCGCTTCTTCCTTGCGCTTGCGCTCTGCTTCTCGCCTTGGAGCACAGCAGCTGGCCCAAGTGATTCCCCCAAACCATCCCAAAATGCCTGAGCTGCTCTTGCTGCCGTTGCCTTTGGAACTCCTCCTCAAACCTTCAGCAAGCACGGAGCCGTACAGCTGTCAGCACGTCTCTTGATAAAAACATTGACAGTTACAACCGGTGGCAAGCCCCGTACTGTTAGCACTCAACGCGGGAAAGGCAGCGGAGTCACGTAGTGACGATACATGATTCAACACTCAGGTAGTTTGACACGCCCCCTCAGCTTGCTGGTTTGTAGGAAGGAATGCCAACAAACTGGAGAATGTAAAAGGGGACAAGTGTTAGTCTTTCTTTGCGGTCGACAGTAGCGATGGAAACTGGCGTAGTTGTCCATGAAAGGAGTAGCTATTTACAAAAGCCGAAGATTGGAGCAAAGTACACTGCTCAATAAATCTTCAATTTCGCAATTCGGTGAGGAAATGTGAGACCTAGCTGTCTCAAAAGGATGTAGTTGGGACATGGTTGAAGTGGCGAATGTAATAGGCTCCTGTTCCTGTAGTTGTTGCTCCTGATCTCTCTGCTGTAGCTGGTCCGTTGGCTGCTCCTGCGGTGGACTGCGCTGATGCTGAAGCTGGTCTGAAGCTGGTCTGAAGCTGGTTCGCCTGACATGTCGTATTCGTTTGGCATGTTCTTGCCATACTGTTGTTGTCGTTACTGTCAAATGCTAAAATGCTAGGTCTCTGCTCCGCTTCCACGTTGCAATGAAACTGGCAGAGACAGCCAGTGCAAGTGTAGTGTTGTCACGCAGCCTTTCTGTGGCAACTCAGTGGTGCTAGGCTCGAGGCCTTGACGGGCCCCCGGTGGAGTCAAGTAGTGACTCTAGTGTCGACACACTCAACACTCAAGAAGTGTTTAACATCTCTTTCTTGCTATCGCTGTGGTTTGGCATCGCTCTCTCTCCGGTTCCGCTTGCATGTCGCTTGCAAAAGGCACCTTCTCTTTGCCTCCTCCTGGTGCAAGCGTGCATACTCCTGCCGGCGCTGACGGGAGGGGCATAGTGGGGTGATGGCGCTCAGTGTTCTCTTACAAAACGTCCATGAGTCCTGCATTTGCCGTTCTGCGGAATGTGCATCGACAAAGGCGGGCATGCCAGGCATTCCGGGCATCCCGGGCATGCCGTACCACATCCCTGACATGGGATAGGCCGCTGCCTCGCGGTGCACGCTTTGCGTCGGACAAGAAGGTAAACTCTGAGCTCATGGCCCCTTGTTCTTTGTCGTCCTTCTTCTCTTTCTTCTCCTTCTCTTTCTTCGGGGTGACTTTGAAGTCTTTGTCAACTGGCCCGTCGTAAGGCACCTACCAGGCAAATAAATCTGACATGCAGACAAGGACATGGGCAGTCCAGCCTTCCATCCACTTTCTGGTGGTGTCTGAGCCTTGCCCGGCTGGTAAGCCCACACCTGCCATGCCCGAGCGGCAAACTTGGGCCCTGGCGAAACCAAAGGAAACCGCGCCAAACCGCACCAAACCGCACCAAACCGCACCTGGTCTCCACCGACTTTGGGGCCAAACCACCAGCCGCTGAAGTCTGACCCATCACGGTCATCCCAGTAGTAGAGCATCACCTCGCACGAATCAAACATGAAAAGAGCGTGTCAAGCCATGCAATCAGAAATGCAAGCATGCAAACAGTGCCAAGCTCTGAGCATCCAGGTCATTGAACTGCTCGTCTCTCTTGTAAACAGGTCTGGGCAAGTGACACCAAGCAACCGATTCTGGATTTCGGCCATGCTGATTGGCATGGTGGCGTGCCTGCCGTGGTTTTCACCTGCAAACTTGAAGCTGCCGCGCACAATCTTCTTGACCGTCTTATCCTTGCAGCCAGTAACTGCAAGTCCTCAGGGGACAGAACGTCCATTTTGCACGAGGGAACGAAGCCGCCCAATTGCAACACGTCTGCCGGCCTTTCGGCCAATCCAAGGTGTCACGAGGCTTTCGAGATTCTTTTGCTCCTTTGGTTCCTTTTGCCGCTTTGGCTCCCTTAGCCTCCTTGGCGCCTTTCTCTTTCGCGGCTTTATCTTTGATGCCTTTCTCTTTGGCACCTTTGTCCTTAGCATCCTCATTTTTGGCCTTCTTCTTCGAAGAACTTTCGGCCTATGAAAGCCGGAATCCCTCAAAGCACTCACCCAGTTTGCAATCAGCGCCTTTGAAGCTCCATAGCCAAAACCAGGATAGTCATACCTTATCGAGAAACATTCAGAAGGCTACAACACGTTCATTCTGACCGAGAGCGGCCGCAAGTTGCTTCAGAGCTTGGTGTATGCTGAGGTCCGATCGAAGATGAGGACGGCGTCAACACCGCGCTTGGACCGGATAAGAAGCCCGGATACCCGGGATATGCGAAGCCGTACCTGCACAAGGATGCCACAAAACAGGAAATAGCTGTTCCCCTGACAACCCTCTCAGGCTGGCGCATTTCGTGGCACGGCCAGCGCCTGGCGTTGGTCAAGCCGCTAAGCCTCCTTCGGCCCGGTGCAGTGCTCCAAGGCCAAGGCCAGCTGGGCTGGTGCCCGCGCCCGGACTCGATGCTGCGAACATTTCGGGCCAAATAGCTGCCGGATGCCGAGATGTCGAGCAACTCGTCCCGTTCCGATTGAAAATGCCCAAAAAAATACCCTGGACCAATTGGTTTGTCTGCCCCAGGGTCTCATGCCCCAGTCGTTCGCTGAGGTGCAGACAAGGTTGGCAGCACCTGAATAAGGCTTGCCCAATCTTGCACACACCAAGACATCGTCAAAGATCAGCCCGGAACTTCGGACTCCTCCAATTAGAGTTGAACGAAGCCCACGTGCTGCCTGAGCTTCCAAGAATTCAGCTGCCACAACTGCAGTCATGCTGAACTGTGCTCACGCGTTGTGCTTCTTTTCACCTTGTGCACTTCCGCCATGGCATTGTGAAATCTGCTGCAACGTACCGCAGGCATCTCGTGCAAGTTATGCAAAGGGCTCACGGGACGGCTGATACATTCACCCGAATCCAGTCTCACCCGAAAGGCTCAGGAGCTGTGAATGTCCGTACGCACGCAGCCTTCAGCAAAGTAAACATGCGCCACAGCACCAATCTCTGCAGCTGTTTCCCCAAAGTAGCTTCTGGAAAGGACCACGACCCGAGCAGATGCCAAGAGCAAATATGACACATAAGAGTCCACGAAGCCTTGGAGCCCCAAGTTGGCGTGAGATCGGTCGACATGTGCCAAGTTCCACCCATCCAAAACCCTCAGCTTGCCAGATTTGCGCAGCTCCTTCACTTCCGCAAGCTCCAATGCAGAGGCCGTGTCAGCGCTCAGAAACCACGGAGTGTCCGGCGGCAAGCCCGCCTCTCTTTCCGCAACTGCGGCGCACGCCAGGAAGCTCGGCAACATGTCCAGGGCGTGCCGGGCAGGATCCCACCAAAGCCGCGCCGACTCATTGCCAGCGCGGAAGTGGAGCGCCAAGAAAGGCCCTTGCTCTAGGCCGAGATGCTCCATGGCTTCAGCAAGCCGTGACTGCAGCAGAGGCGTTGGCTGGAACAAAACGTGCCAAAGTCGGGAAATCAAATGCGGCCACTGTCGCAAACCAAGTCGCTCAGCCTGGCTCTCGGCCAAGGGGTGCGCCTCGGTTCAAGCTGCAAAAAAAAATAGCTGCACGCGGCAAGGCTAAGAGTGGGATCCTTATGAAACATCAGCCACCAAATAGAAGCCTCAAGCTGTCAAAATTAATTTGGTACAGTACACAAGCTCATTGATTGAGGCGAGCACTAGAATAGCGGAAAGCTCGCGATGGTTCATAGACAGCTGCAGCACTTGGCTTGAATCCTCCAGAAGCCAGGTCAAGTCTTCCTGCAAAGCAATTCGGTCATCCAAGTAAAAACTCTGACTGCCATGGCCCATAGCTCTCAAGCCGTTCAGTCTCCAATCCAGCAGCAGCTCTGACTCTGCGAGCCGCGGCTGCAGAACAAGTCCCAGGGGCAAGGGCGAGTCAAAGTCGATGAAGAACGCTCGAGAAGTCATCAGTGCCACGATAAAGGCACTGAGGATGCCGTTTGTGCGATCACCATGGCCACCGCACAACGTGAAGGGGTTACACACATACACCAAAGCCCGAAAATTCCCATCGCCCGATGGCTGACCCGCCCAGGCTTGAACTGCACGCTTGTGAAACTCCAGGTACGGACCAAGAGATTTTAAGTTTTCCTTGAGGCTCCCTTGCAGCATTGCCTGCAAACCCTGGACAGATCTTCCATTGAAGTGGAAAACGCCGGGCAAGGTCAGCCCCTTGCCGCGCGCAAGCTTTTGCACAGCATCTTCGACGTGGAACGCGGCCGGAGCACGAGCATCAAGCATGACCAGCTTCATCTCTGACAAGGCCTTCGCGCAGTTCGCGCAGTTCGCATTCGCCGCTGCGACCGCTTCAATGCTCAAAGTCGCTTGGTGCCTGCGCCACAGCACCTCAAGGCGCACATGCTTTCCAGGCCGAGGGGTCAATCTGCGCGCTCGCAGCGCGAGCTCCGATGCAAAAACAGGCCGCACACTTGTCTCCCATGGTTCGCGGATGGAGTCCTCAATGAGCAGTATGTGCAGAAATTCTGCCACTTCATAGAGTTTCATTGATGCATTCCATGCCTTCTCCACCACCTCTGGCCACGTCCGGTTGGAGATTACAATGGCCAGCGTCACTTCAGCATGTTCAAGGCGAAGCTGGTGGGAGCTTTGGCGTGGCCATGGCCACTCCGCTTCAGACAGTAACAAACGCTCGGTACCCCAGAAAAGTTGCGACCCGGCGCCCTGCAAGAAGTTGTAATCCAAACTGGCAGTCATTGCTTTCAGCTGGTACACCAATTTGGCCAGAAACCGTGAGAACACAATGGAAAAGCGGTCCACCCAAACGTGCCAAGTCCTGACGGCGCCTTGTGACCTTTGGAACGGGTAGGCCACGGCATGCGCCAGCTCACGCCCTGCACGCCCTGCCAGGGGCAGCCCTACCCCAGCTTGGGCGGCCAGGAGCGGCAGTTGGAAGCATCGCTCAAAGTCAAAGTCGGACGCCTCAGACGCCTCGGCCGGCGCCGGCGCCGTCGGCGCCCGGGCCGCGCGGTCGCTGTCCGCCACCGCGGCCGCCGCCTTGGCCAAGTCGCCCACGAGGCCCCGGAGCCGCAGCTCCCGGCGCCGCAGCCACTGCCGCGAGGCCGCGAAGGCCTTGGCGCTGCGAGGCAGCAAGCAGTGCGACCTCGGCGCTCAGCCACACTGGAACACTCCCATGCGCATCCCGCACGTTCGGCGCATTCCCCTTCACATTCCCCTTCGCATTCCCCTTCGCATTCCCCTTCGCATTCTTCGCATTCTATTTGCTGTTGCTCTTTTGCTCTATGCACGTTTCACTTTGTTCAGTTTGCTCTCTTTGCGGCCAACACTCAACGACGCAAAGGCCAATACTCCATGCTGAATGTTTCGCCCACAGGCAGATGTACGGAAACTCGTGGCCAACAAGCCGAGCATGCTCAACATACGCTGGGAGTTCAACCAGGCCTGAGAGTTGCAAGCAGCACCTTGCGCTGGAGTTGGATGCCCTGACGCCCCAGGGGTAGAGCAGTAAGCTGCAAGGCGTTCAAGCGTGAGCGAAAGCATCCCCGCATTAGTGGTTGACAAGGGCTCTCTGATTTGGACCGGCTCAGCCCTCTCTGGACCTCCTCTGCAAACTCCAGCTGCTGCTCCATTGTGCGTAGCTTAAACTCCAGTACCAGGTCGCTGTACTCTAGGATGGACATGATCTTGTCCAAACTGCAGCACGTGATATCTGCACGGAACTTAGGATCTGAGCCTAAGCGTCGCCAAACTCTGCCTGCTTCTGCTCTGGTATGATGCCAGCGCAGGTGGTTGCACTGAAGATGCGGTGGCAGGAGCTGTGCACGCAGTGCACGCACCCCAAGCAGCAGGAACCAAGACAGCATGTCCAGCCATAGCAACGCAATTGCAGGAGTCGGGATAGGGGAAGGTGCTCTTAGAGTGCCAAAAGAATTCCAGCAACAAGGTATTGCCAAACATGTTCACAGAGTAACAGAAGCTGGCATTTCACTTCATCCAACGCCACTGCGTTACAGAAGCATACCATGTGTGAGAACCAAACTTGAGAAGACCCAGGGACCAGGCATCTCGTACTGTCGCCGGCATTTTCGCAATGACCTGTGGGCCATCCCCTGGCATCGGCTGGCCTCGGTGTCAAGTGCCTGGCTAACATGACCATAACTTTGGACCATAACCCCACATTCGCCGCATTGAGCCCCGGCCTGCGAAGTTAGCACGGATGATGCTCAGCCGCAGAGGCCTTCTCTCGCACGAAGCGCATGGCGCACGCCCAGCTTCGAATAACGCGAACGACCCGAGCTCAGTGACTCAGTGACTCAGCAACGAGCGAGGCGTTGGAACTGCGCCTAGGCAACTCAGCGGGCGAAGCACGCAGTGGCACATCAAGCCCCCTGCTCACGAAGTGCTCGCTTCAGGTGGCGCTCAACAGGCGATGCTGGCAAGTCCTCACTTTGTCAATCCGTATCGGCCTCCAGACCATGTCTTTGAGCAGGCAACTGCCACGAGAACGATCCGCTGAACACCTTAGATTGCCAAAATTTGCAAAATGCTCCTAAGGTCGAAGTCCCAACTGAAGCATTTGCAAGCAACCGGGTCGCAGGGCTGCAAGCGAGTGGCTCTCAGGAACACCCTCCAGCAAGGCCGTCAGGCCAGCACATGCTTGGGCTTGGGACTGGCAAGCTGGCACGTGCAGCACGTGCAAGGGGCAAAGCAACACACAACCTGAGGACCTGGTATCCGAGCGTTAAGCTGAAGCTGAATGCGTAATCGTGACAGGGCTGACTTCAAGGTCCTGCTCACAGTAAACCTGAAGCGGGCATAGGCAAATTTACAGTGCATTTTCGGATCCCTAGCTGAATATAACTTGTTCCATGCACGTCTTCTCAAGGCCGTCAGCTCCCGGTGTGACACACTCCAACAAGACCCCTTCCAAGGTCAAGCTGCTGGGCCGGACTTGGTGAAACGCTTGGATGGTCAGCATTGGCCGCCTCTCTGGCTGCTTCGCATCTTCGCACATGCTTCGCATGCATCTATGTTTGAAAAGGTCCGTAGCTTCACTGAGCACTCACTCCTTACTCACTGCACACTGTCACTTCGGTCACTTCTGCTTCTCACTCTGCTCACTGTCTGTCAGAGGAGCCCGCGGTGGCGCGGAGTGTCGCCTTCATCTCGCCGCCTTGGCCCAGGGCCGGGGGTGCCAAGGTGTCGATGCCGGTGGAGGCGAGGTCCTGGAAGCCTTCGAAGGCCATCTGCACGGAGTCCTCCAGGCGAGTCAAGATCTTCTCCAAGTCCTCCTGATCCTCCACGATGCCTTCCTCCATGAGCTGGCAGTGCGAATCCAGGAGATCCTTGCTTTGCTTCAGCAGCCGAACGAAGCTTCTCACCTGGTTCAGCACCCCCAGGTGCACTGTGCTCTTCTCAGAGGCCACGTAATCCTCGCAGCCCTCCAGCAGAAACTGGGCCGTGGCGGCGTCGCACGCGATCTTCCGCAGCTCCAGGTTCTTCACCACGCCGAAGCCAGGGTTCGCATCAGCGGAAGGCGCCTCCAGGCTCAGGTCCTCGATCTTCTTTCGGTTCAGCTTCAGGCCCAGGCAGTTCTTGGCCGCCGCCTTCTCCATCTCCTCCGTGGCCTTGGCGTTCTGCAGCAGGCCCTCCATCAGCCCCTCGTAGGGGTTGCTCCAGAAACAAGCCTTGTACTCCCCTTCCCGGAACTGGTCCCGGCGCCACTCCAGCTTGAACTTGAACTCTTTCCACGCCAGCTTCAAGTCGTGCACAATGCCCACCGTGGCCCCACAGGTGGTTCTCGTCTGACAAAAGTGCTCAACTATGATGACAATGAGAAGGTTCAGCATCAGAAACATCATCATCAGGATGAACAGCCAGTACCAAATGGTAGCCGACACAGGGGCGACTACATAAAGCTGGTCGAAGGTCGCGGACCCCATCATGAGGAGGACGGCGCTGGCACAGCACTGCGGATATGTTGACCAGCTCTCAACCTCTGGACCAAACAGGATCTTGCCTCCCACAGCAAAGTTGTTGAAGACCACGAGGAAAATCAACATCAGATGCATGACATCCCAGAAGCCGTCTGCAAGCGTTATCTGGATCATTGCGAGCTTTGCTTGGCCCAGGGAACCCTTCAACATTCTAGCTGTGATGATGGAAGAATACCAGAACAAGCTGAGCTGAAAGTAGCCTCGCATCACGACGATCGAGTGTGCGTCATCGATGTTCCTTGACCAAGCTGCTTGATAGGCAGAGCCGTCCAAGTCGGCAGCCTAAGTTTCTTGCATTTGTGAGCATCTCGCAGCTGAAAAGGGGGCTAAAAGAATGGCTCGCGAATGCGCCCGTGTAGCCGGCTGTTCAGGGGAGGCAGGGGTGATCTTGGTGCATCCTCACGCAATGGAAAATGATCGCGAGAGTTTCTGCCTGGGGCAAGCGGGCTATTCTCAAGACATAGTTCTAGAGCGTGGTTTTTGTTGTCTCTTGCTACTTGCCAATCCCTCCGGCGCAGCTGCGCACTTGGTTGCAAGCACTACGCCATGCCTCCAAGTCGCTAGGGGGGCTCGGGGCAGTTGTGCCACGGCGCTGGCAAGGACGGATGTGAATTCCTGACAGGCGCTGGGTCAAGGCAACCCTGCCACAGACTTGGGACCGGTCCTGTATCCAGAGCGAATACACAGCCAACGCAATCCCAACCTTGGGCAATCCGGCTTAAGGCATGCACAAGGTGAGGTGTACAGCATACATGCATTTCTCCCAAAGTGACAGCAAGAAATCGTAAGCAGGCGGCTCCAATGGAGACCCAGTCCACCAGGTTCCAGAAACTGGACAGGTACGTTCCTCAGATGTACAGGCCGAGGCTATCAAATCGGACATTGCAAGGCCAAAACTGTCATACCGAACAGCTGAGAGTCTAAGCTCCCGCTTGAAAGTCATTCGCAGCACTTCCCAAAGTTCCTGGTTCAGCAGTATGAGGATCATACCCAGCCAGCAAATTTCCGGCAAATAGTCCATGATAGCCAACTGGCCAGGCACCGCCCTGAACACGTGACTGCGCACCCGCTTGGTGACAGCGCCATCATACAGCCACTGAAAGGAAATTTGGAGGATCGCAAAGGAGCCGCTCTCGCCGTTCAGCATCAGAGTCTCCAGCTCCAGAGACGTAGTGGACGCTGTCAACCAGTCATGACGGCGTAAATACGTCGCAGTTTCCAGAGCATCCTTCAAAGGCCGTTCGACATCGAAATGGGCATCGTAGAAGTCTCCCTGCGAGGCAAAAGCTTGCCTGGCACCAGCCGGGATTTGATCTATGATGGTGAGGTTTGACGTGGCCAAGGGACCGAAGGCATCGGAGGCAGGCCTCGAGCTTCTGCACTGTATGGTGTACCAAGCCTCCAACGTGTCCAGCAAGTTGCAGTTGGCCGAGTCCAAATTGGCCCGCCTTTGGCGGGCGCGAACCCCGCCCACCACGAGGTTGCGATTCAGGATCAAGCCAGGTCGCCGGATCACCTTGCCGGCCACGGTGCCCCAGATGTTGGGCAGGAAGCCGTGCTCCAGCCACACCATCACGTCGAAGGCCGAGCGGATCCGGCTCCAAGTCATGGGCTCCATGTCCTGCGCTCCCAGCGGGTAGAAGCCGCCCGTGGCCGCCACCAGCCGCTCGGCGCTGCCCGCTGGCAGCCGCCCCAGGAACTCGAAGGCCTCCGTCTGCCCGTCGTCGCTGCAGGAGCTTGCCGGGAAGCCCCCGATGTGACGGCAGCCGCAGCGGCACGGCCTTCACACGAAAGAGAACGAATACAGACGAACAAGACGAACAAGACGAATCGATAGAACCCCGAGACACTTCTCCAAGGCTCCGGCATGCTAGTTTCCGCGGGCGTACGCAGTCGAACACCGCTTACACCTGGATGTGATATGATGGCCTCGACATAGTTCACTACGGCCTCCTGGACTTCGTACTGCCTTGTCACACCAGATCGGGCAACTGCCAGGTAGGCAAAGATACCCCACAGAAGGCCAGTGAAGCACAACGTCTTCTGGCTCTTTCCCCACCTCAAAAGAAAAAGGCACAACATGGGGCATGCCTATCACATCAACTCGCTCTCCGTTCGAACTGAGGTGAGCGCCACTCACGCTGGTTCAGGTACTCGATCATCTGGAATCTTGTGACTCCTTTTTCCACTTCCTCAGCCTCCACATTTACCGGGACTGCATCATCTCCAAATTCATCGCCAAGCGCTCCTAAGTCGAGGTCGGCGTCACCTAAGTCAAGGTCTGCATCTTCCGGCAGCTCATCTTGTTCATCCATCTTGCCCAGCAAAGAAACACGCTTGATCCATGCTAGCTGCTGCTTTTCGCCCCTGAGCACTTGCACGTGACCGGAACCTCCCAACTCCTTCAGGGACAAAGGCAATCAACCAGTTCAAGGCGGCTGTTGCGGGCTTGCGCACGCTGGTTTTGTGACCAATGCGCACCATGCACAACTTCAAGCTGAGCAAGGAACCGCAACAGCACAGCAGCCAGCCAGCCTGTGTACGTCTGCGCAGCACACAACACATGGGCACATGGCTGCCTATGGCCTGAGGAACCGGCTGCTGCCGGAAGTCCTCCAAACATCTCACATTCGGAGTGGGATCCGACCCAACCGCCCAAACAGTGAAGTTGTCGGAGGTGTCCTCAGCCGCGAGGTCCTGCCTCACAGCTTTGAACGCCCTGCGCACATTCGGCGACCAAGTGAGGCGCAAGGTCTCGGTTTCGAAGACCCTCACCTGAGCCAAAGACTTAAAGACCCTGGCCCTTCTCTTGGACTCTCAGCCTCATCCCCGGAGACTTCACGAAGCGCGCTTGACACGGCCTGTGTCAACACAAACCCCTTCACTGAGCCTTGTCCCGTGTGCACACCCGCTTGCTGCCTTCTCTTGACCTGCACCGGTGCAGCTCCAAGCAACCGCGCAACCAACTCTGGGTGCCCCGCGGGGCCAGCATGTGGCCACTGCAGCCTGCCGACTCTGCGACACTCTGCGAGTCTCGCTCCGCATTTCATTCACTGCCACGACGTGTCACAACGCACCTTGCGCAGCGAAGGAAGCAACTGCTGCATCTCCTAAAGGAGCCGTGCTACAGTGCGTGTGTGAGACGCTCAGTATGTGCGAAGGTGGGATCCTTCCGCTCGCGAGCATCCTTGTCTAAGTCAATGCCTTCAAGTGAACAGCGGAGCGTTGACGCTGCGGACGCCCACCTAAAGCTTTGATGCTCTCATCCGCTTTTCGCAGAGTTTCCTGAACCAAGTCCGACAATGGCCCCAGAGAAATTCGAGCGACCCGACCTCTGCGTTCAAAGCCCGCTCCTTTTGAATCCGCCTGAATCACCGAAGCACGGAAAAAGCAATTCCAGGAACACTCCGGGGCCAGAAGAATCCAGCAATTGGATCTGAAATCCCCGCACTTCTGCAGGAAGCCGTGCATTGAAGGACTTCCTGGGCTAAAATGGCCAAAAGCAAAATGAAGGAAGGGCACCAGCCTTCAAAAGCATTCGCCACTTTTCCTTTACCGCCTTTACCGTCTCTGTGGTTGAGCAGCGGTCAGTTGCCACAATGTGAATTGTGAGGGCATCGCGTGGAAGCAAGCAATGCATTGGCATCAACATTTGGCAGCATGTCTGATAACGCGACACGACCGCGAGTGAAACAAATCTGGCACTGCCAGCTCAAATCCTGAATCAGACTTTCGGCTGGGGCCTTATACAGCAGCGCCGGATTGCGCTCGCACGGAAGAGTCGGCTGTTGGGCTAAGCTGCTCCCCGGGTTCTCCCACGCCAGTGACAGAAGAACCAAAGATGACACTACTGAACTCCTTTTTCATCTCCGTGTCACCCTCCTGCGCCACAAAGCTCCGGAAGACATCCACGCCGCCTCAGGGAAAATCAAGGGAAAATGCCGTCGCACCAACTCTGCATGACTTGATGACTTGACCCCGTGCCTGGTGAGGCCGAATCGTCGGAAGACTCGGCTGATGACGTTGCTGAGCTGTCCTCCTCCTTTGTGAGATGCGGAGATCGCCTTGCGACATGGACCAGAACCATTTGAACCATTGGGAGCTGAGACCGCAAGCTGCCATGCCATGAATGAAAAAACTGAGGCAGGGGCATTGCTTGCACCGCGTAAGGGCTTGCATTGAAGCCAGCGGCATTTGGGGCGTAGAGCCCTCCTCCTCTTTGATCCTCTGCATCTTTGAAGGATCGCTCCTTCTGCTTTTGCTCCTTCAATCTGGCCTTCTTGGCGGACGGCTTTCCTTTGATGTACTCATATGTTGTCATATTCCGCGCGCACAGGTAGGTGTGGAAAACCACCAGCGTGAGGTCAAGAAACCATAGAGGAATGTTAATCACTGACAAAGCCACTCCAATGACCCAAATGTAGACAGTGCCGAGTCCAAGCGGATTCATCGAGCCTTCCCCTGTGTGCTCCACGAGCACGAGGATACCTGCCACCGAGCTTGTTCCCAGCATCACAAACAGGGCCCATATCGAAACATAAAAGCAGAGGTAGTTGCGCGTCCCGATGCAAGTGTTCAGCCATGGGCAGTGATGGTCAAAGTTCGCAACACACTTGTTGCAATCCCAGCAATGCTTCGAATCAAGCTGTGCACATGACCTGCAATAGCGGCAGTACAAGACGTCTTCCTGCACCTCTTCCAGACCTTCCTCAGCCTTTGCCACCAAGGGGTCCACGGGGTCAATACTCATAGTCCAAATGCCAAAGACCAGCGTAACCACAAAGGAAGCCGTGAAAAGAATCAAGAAGGGGTACTGCGCCAGGAGCGGGTATAGGAAAAGGCCGAAGGCTGCAGCGTTGCCCAAGCAAACGCTGATGGTTACCACCTGCCTGCAAGAAGGCGGGCCTGGGTTGTGCACTTGACGCACATGACGCGCATGGCGCGCATGGCGCGCATGACCAACACCAAGCACGCATAGCGCATTCAGTCTAAGCCGCGGACAATTCCAGGCATTATACCGCCTCATGTGTTCCCCACCTGCAACCATCTCGTTTGTAAGGCGGCAGTATTCCCCGGGGCCATAATTTGAACCCGGACGGCTCTGACAGTGGTGGCACAATCGCTGCAAGCTGTCTCCACCCTCCAGCCTTATCAGTGGCATGGCATGGGCTGGTTGCACAAAGCCCCCAACGAGAGCTCTTCGTCTGAGGGTAATGGCTCACCAACCTTGGAAGTCTCTTTGCATCGGGGTGAGGTGACTGCCGTGACTGCCGTGACTGCCGTGACTGCCTCCGGCACTGCGCTGAACCTGCATGCCCAATGCGAGCCGCATGGAAGCCCATGGCTCGCCACTCGCCTCCTGCGTGACCACGCCACGGCAAAGGCCAACACCTCGCTACACAGCAAACGACACATGAAACCGGCAAACTCGGCAAACCCGGCAAACTCGGCAAAACTGAAAAACCCAATCATGCGGGGATCAAAGCCAGCGACTGCTGGTTCACAAGGCGTCAAGTAGCAGCGCCCGCCAAAACCTCCACAAAGGCTCTGCTTTGCTAGCTTCTGCCACTCGAGCTGATGCCCTGCACCCAGCAAGTGTCTTAGCAAGTGCAAAACTTCACCAGGCATTTGTCTCCAAAGCGCAGGCGATGTTGCAATCTCCGTTTGGAGATTGTTTGACTCTAACGCGCCGAAATCTACGATGTTCTGCGGATACCCGCAGTAAAACATTCGCAGGGCTGCAGCCTGAAAAGCAGCACTCCTGAGAAACACTTGCAACAAAATAATACAACACACAGGAGCAACCCTGCATTGTTGCTACGCGACAGTGAGATACATGCATCTTAGAAGCGTGCTCCCGAAAGCCATGAGCCTTTGGAGGCATTGGGATTCTGCAGATTCCTATAGGAGCGATCAGCTCAGCCAGGGGTGTTGCAAAGCCTCCTCTGCGGTGGCCAAGCGATCCGATGGATCAAAGGCCAGGAGCTGTTGGCAAAAATCCTTGCTTTGCGGAATCTCTTCAAAGGTGGAATGGCTCCAATCCAGTTGATGGCCACCCATTTGTGACATGACTTGCTCCATCCATCGCCTGTTTGCAGCCGGTGATTTGGGGCTGTGATCTGGAAAGTCAAAGAACTCAGCCGGATAGGGAAAAGAACCGGTAAGCAGCAAATAGACTATAACGCCAACGCTGTACAAATCTGTTGCAGCTGAATATTCTCCCATGAAAGCCTCTGGTGCATTAAAACGGGCAGTGCCACAGCAATGCTGGGCACGATTCGTGGGACAGTGAGGGCTAAACTCTGTTTCTGCATGGTCGAAGTCAATAAGAGTGACTTTTTGCACCTTCTGCCCAGTAGGGCTGTCATACGAATGCATGACCATGTTGTCAGGCTTGATGTCCCGATGAAGGATTCCTTGGCTGTGCAAATGTTGAAGTGTTTCCAAAATGTCCCTGGCAACCTTGCATACTGCAGTCGGAGGCATGTTGCCATCCTTGTGCTCTTGCAGCAAGCAATTGAAGAATGATCCACCCATTGCACGCTCCATCACAACATAGTAAAATTGATTGTCCTCGAGAACCTCTTGTAACTGTATAACTCCTGGATGCGGAGGGAAATTCAGCAGCCGTGTCTGCGCTCTGACAAACCCTTCTTCGTGCTGGTCTTCTCGCAGAGATTGCTTGCTCTTAATCTTCATGACATACTTAAACTCTTCATCTGAGGATTTTGGTCGACAGACCACAACTTTGCCACCATCGCCCTCCTGCTGCAAGATCTCCTCCCAGTAATACAAGTCGAAAATCTTCTGACCCTCTTCCAACTGACGAACCTTCTTCGGCTCTGGGACTGACAGAGTGGAAGGTCTGTGCTGACGCCGGGAGTGAAAGCCATGCCTTCCACTCCACGTCCTGCTGAAGAGCTTTGGGCTGCCTTGAAAGCTTTGCGGGCTTTGAGAGCCGCTGGCGCTGGGGCTGGAATCTCCGTCGGGCTTTCGGTCCGGCTTCTTTGGAACCATAAGGCTCAAAAGTTGCTCCGGGGACATGGGACGACGAGAATCAGATTCCCTTTGCCGGTCAATGCCGGATGCTCGGACCCACAGTGCCGGATGAGCACTTCTTGGTCTGGGCCGCTCAGAGCCTGAGCCCTCTCGAGATCCCAAATGTGGCAAGAAAGCATCCTCTTTGTCCCCCTTGTCCCCCTTGTCTCGATCAGCCCCTTTGTCTCGATCTCCTTTGTCTTTTGGCTTCACCGCCCGCGGAAAAGCTGACAAAGCTGACAGTGGGCAGAGCTGGGCCTGATCTTTGAGTTCTCTAGGTCGTAGGGAGCTTCGTGAAGGCGTTCTGGCAACTGTGCTTCCTGTACTTCCTCTGCTACTAGGTCGAGCGTCTGCTGCGGGGACGCTGAGAGTGTTACATGAGCTGCCACGCAGCACGGGCATCACTCATCGCATGTCTTGAGCCAGAGGCTACCGCTGGTAGGATGCCAGCTCAGCTACAACAAAAAGTAGGAAACGCTGCCAGAAGCAAGGCTGCGCCCGTGCTTTGTGCAAAGGCGCCTTGTGGATGCACCCGATGGAGAGGACTGCACACCTGCAGGGCCTGCACACAGACTCGAGTCAGCAGGCACTTCGGCAAGTCACCGGCCTTGGGCGCCGATTTGGCCGGATACCACGCTACTTCCATGCCACAAAAACTGCACAACGAATGACAAATGAGCTGCTGGATTGAACTTGTGGTTTTGTGGCACCCAAAAGAAAGGTTGCAGAATTGTACCACATCAACTGTCCAAGAAGTTTTCGAGGCAAGAATGGCAGCATCAACAACCAACGTTGCTTGCGGTGTATCTGTGCAGGTTGTCCATCCTGGCCACATCCCCCACCCTGCGATTGTTTTTACAAGCATTGAACCCCACACAACCTCACTCCGGCTCAACTGCGCACGCGTATGTGCGGCGGTGGACTGCCCTTCTCGCAGTCGCCGCACAGGGAGGGCTGGCTGCACAGCGAGGGCTGGCCGCCAGCCTGCTGCAGCTCCCGCTGTTCGGGGAGGCGTGTGTTGACGGCGCAAAGCCGCCGGCGAGCGACCTTCGCTGACGCCCGGTGGGACGCTTGCCCGCGTGAGCTTCGGCGCCGCTTTCGCGTTGTCAGTTGGAAAAAGGCATGTGAAAAAGATGGAAAGCTAAGGCTTGAAGCTTTGGAGGCCGCGTGTGAACGGAGACTTTCCAGCGTGTACGGGGGTTACGATTGAATCTTGGACGCTATGCTGTAGCAAGGTGGTGCGCGCGCTAGGACTGGTGGCAAATTAAATCCAAATTTTAAGGTTTCAGCTCGCTTGCGGGAATTGCGATGTCGAAGGCGTGCCTCACAAGACACACCTGCAAGAAGACAGTTGTCGAACATCATGCTGTTGGATGGAAATATGCCGCCGACATGGCACAACCCTGTTCGACATGTTGTCAAAAACAGCGACTGCTAAGCTTGCGTCCGAGTCTTGGCCAATAGCACTACGTCCCTTGATGTACAGGACATTTGCATCTCGAGTCTTGGAAATGCCTATGGCAAGCTCTACGGGAACAAACATGCATGGGGCGTCGGCTCATTTGGCTTGGATGTTGCAGATGTTGTACGCCAACCAAAAGGGTCAAGTTGTCACTGATTTTGACAAAGGCTTCAAGTTCGACATACGAGCGGACTGCGACAACAACATAGCAGCGGGCGCTGCATCAAGACTGTCACTGTGGGCACGGGCGTGTTGCAGATATCATCCCCGACATGTGGCGGAGGCGTGTCACTGCCAAGAAGCTGGTGCCACCACGGCACGGAGCCCGGCAAGTTCAAGCTGGCGCACAACGTGTTTGCAAGGTTGGCAGGCTGCCAACCCACGAGGCCCACAGCCCAAGCCCGCTGCGTCGAAGGGCGGGCCGTGACTGCCGGACGGCGGGGTGCAGCATCTGCAACGCCGCGGGTGTATGATACGGAGGGCATAATTGGACCACGGCGACGCGAAGCACAACAACAGTTGGGAACTTCCCCCCCGACACATCTGCTGCACTTATGTCCGCAAGGCCTGGCGGCTCAACTGCGGCTGCGTTCCACACCCGGTTTCTTTTTGCCACCTGGCAGGGGTGAAACACCGCGCGCGAAGTGAGACCGCAGAGGTGAAACAACCGAAGCACAGAGCCCCAGCGGCACTCGCGCCCCGAGACAAGGGGAGGGAGCGGCGCATCCAGACGGCTCGGAGCGCCTGCATCTGCAAGCGGCAAGACGTCGCCGAGCAGCGGCCCCTCCTCCCCCGTGGGCATGGGTGGCGGCAGCCACCGCCCCAAGACGGCGCTGCACACCGCCCGCACGCTGAGCAGGCTCCACCAGCGGCGGAGCCAGCTCGCGCGTGCCTCCTCCAGTACTATCTATTGCATGCCACCAGTAAGCATAGGAGCTAGAGATGCTATCTCCAATGATGCAAACATTAGTGCTGCCCACTTGCCCGGTATCTGCTTCACCTCTACCTAGTGGCAATGTGAATTGTGGTCTGTCTGTATTTCAGAAGATAACCCCTTCATTTCCAGTCCGAAATAAACTTCTCTCCCCAAGCTCAGATTGCAGCTTGGCAGCCTACTCTAAATGCATTTTGTTCACAGGGAAGTGGGGCAAGGACTCTCAACTTGCACAAGCCAACCCTTTGTGAGCTTCTTCCAGCAAAAGAAGACCCCCGCTCCATCCACGTTGCATGCACAAGGGGCTAGTGGGCCTTTGCAGTTGTGGTGATGTCCTTCCCTTACGTCTTGGAAAGCGCCTTTCCATTGGCCACGGATTGCTAGCCAGGAGAAGATGACGAATCATATTGCCAGTACATCCGGAAATCCGAGTCGCAAGGCAGACCTGCTGCAAGTCGTAACGCCAGCTGCTGCATCAGCAGAGAGACTCTACTTCCTATGCTTACTGGTGGTATGCAACAGATGGTACGGGAGGAGGTAACTTATTCCACTTGCACCTTGCAGAGGTCATCAACACAGTTTCTGATCAGTAGGCCTCCTATGGTTAGCCCCGAAAAACGTATGCTCAGAAACACAGACAGAATTGTTTGAGCTGCATTACGCTGCATCAAAAACTGAAATAGAAGGGGCCGGTCATCGACGTGGTCAACCACCAGGTTGAGATCGGCCAAGCGGTGGAGCCCGCACATTGGCAGCACACTGAGCGAGGCGTGCAGCCTCGCGGTCGCCCAGGAAAACCAAGAGTAAGGCTTCTTGAGCAGAGGCAGGGATGTATCCCTCCGCGCCTTGGACTAGGGACAGCGCCCACCGAAAGAACACCGAGGTGGCAGCGGGCAACTCGCGCCCAGCAGCCTGGACAGACTGGAGCAGGTGTGGCACCAGCGCCGATGCTGCCTGGATGCCATGCAAGGCGTCAGCAAACTGAAGCCAGGGGACAGGCGCGGAATCGAAGCAGGGGGACGTCAGCTATTCGCAGTGAGCCGGGGGGCGGGGGCCCGGCTTCCAACCAGGAGAATGCCGCAGCGTCGGGCCAAGCTCGGCAGGCGACATTTCCATGGAAACGAGTGAGGTGGCCACTGACAGGGGGGGAGCCAACTGCGCAGGACGAGAAGCCGATGCCAGCAGGCCAATACCACCGACAAACTCCGGATCCCAGTCGGGCTGCCACCTGGCACATGCGTCATCCGGGCACGCACCTGGGCCACACACTCAGCGCGGTACCTGTGACGACAGCCGGGCCAAAAACATGCAATGCCACTGGGGAGCACGGGTTCCAGGCAGGCCGGGCAATTTTCCCCCGGTGGGTCGATGGGGAGTCCTGGTGTCGCTGGGCAGCTGGCGCCGGGGACAAGGGACGGTGAGCGCACAGAACCAGCAGCCGGAGGGGTGACCGAAGGGAGGTTGGGCGAAGAGGGCACGGACAGGGCGACGGGAGAGTCAAGGCCCGACATGGCGAACAGAAAGCCAACAAAGCCAACAAGGCCGGGAGAGAAAACGTTGATCACGGGGTCGGTCCGCCTCCGCAAGGAGCTCACTGAGTGGCGGGGCGTCGCCGTCACAGTTGGACTGGCCAGGCGAGACAGGGCCAAGGAGGAGGGACTCTGCGAAAGCTTGGTGGGCGGCAAACGCGAGCAGGGCGGACCAACGGGCAACGAAAGCGGAGACGACTGAAGGCTGAAGGAGGGCCGGCGTGGAGCGAGCTTGCGCACGAGCGAGGCTGCGGAGGAAGCTGCACGCTTCAGGGCTCCACCGGCCCCAGACCTCGATGGCAAGCACAACAAGGCGGCACCGCTGGGATCGCAGCAGCTCCGGGTAGGTGCGCTCCTCCCGTCGCCGTGCCTCGCGCGGGGCGGCAACGCGGCCAGCGTGTCTGCGGGGCTCGCCGGGAGAGGAGAGAGGCGAGACCAACGTGGCATCGACCGCTACCTGAGCTCCATTCCACACAGGGAGCCCGTTGGCAACAACCTCAAGGCGCCGGTCATCGAGGCGGTCGGCCGGGAGGTTCATGTCCGCAAGGCGTGAATTGACCGTGACTCGAGCGCCCGCGGCAGACTGCTGCGCCAGGCTTCGTGCGACGAGGCGGCGAAGGAAATCACTGACAACAATGCCCCTGACCCGCCCTGAAGGCTTGGTGAGAGCAACGAGAAGCAATGGCAGGGGGTACGGCTCCTCTGGCCAGCAACTGAGAGACCCGAGCAAAGCGGGAGTCGTCGAGGACCAGGCGCAGGAGCTCGGCAGTGTGTCCGGAAGGGCCGGGCGAGGAACCTTTCCTGGCCCGGCGAAGGTTGGCGAGTAGGACTGGGGCCCGCAAGGGCTCAACATCGGGCGGGCGGAAAGGTGCGTAGGTTTCTTGCGGCCGGCGCGCCGGATCACGAAGCTCCTGGAGCGTAGCCTCATTGCCGGGGGCACCTGCGCGCGGCGGACAACTTCCCAAGGTGGACGAGGTGACGGGCTCTGCCAGCCCGTGGCGGCTCATGGACTGGGCAACTTCGGCCAACAACGTCATCCATTCCCCAGCGTGGAAGGCGCGAAGTCGGTGGCGCCAATCGGGCCGGGACAAGTGGCGCTGCTCCGGGCGGCGGTGGAGAAGCATGCGAGGCAACAGCAACCACAGCTTCCAGGCACGCTGGGAAGAGACATGCCCGTCGTCAATCAAACTTGCACCGAGTATGGCCTGCAAGGCGATGGAAAGCGCATGACGCACAGGGCCACGAACAAAAGCCGGAAGGGACTGGAACACAAAGACCTGCACACGAAGCAGGGCCAACACGTCCACCGCATCCAAGTGCGGAGCTGGGAATCGGGGAGGAGGGCGGCGTGCCGCTGTTGGTGTTTTTGTTTTTTCTCCGGACCTTTTTCCGTCAAGCCGCGGTGAAACAGGGTGAAACACGCGACCGGTCCCTACGCGCCCGGCGCCCAACGGGCGTCAGACAGGACATCGGCCTCCAGCGGCGCGCTGGCGTACGCGTCGCCAACGTCGGTGGGGAGTTGGCAGAGGCTCGCAGCGAACGCTCCCTGCGCTGCGACTGCGAGCATCTGCCCCCACCGGCGCCTGTACGCGGCTGCGACAGCCGTGCGCCGCGGGGCTGGCGAGAGCTCGGCCCTGCGCGATGCGGTGGAGGAAGGCCTCAGTCTCCTCGCCCCATCTCCCTCCAACTTCGAGGGCCAGCACCGTCAGGCGACACCGCCGGGCGCGCTGAAACTCCGGGTAGGTTACCCGATGCTTGC